AGGATACATGAAATACATTAAGATACAACAAATAAACAAGCAAAGATAGAAAACAGTTATTTTAAGTTGTAATAATATTGCTGTTTTTATTTTTATTTTTTGGTTGAATACATGCAGCCTTGGTGACCATAAGAGACTTCTTTGAAAACATAAAAAATCGGACTGACTCCAAACTTTTAAATTGTTGTGTATATTGACAATAATACATTTATGTTAAGTATATTTACATGTATTTATTTAGATTTAATATTTATACATTTTATATAATAACTAAGAAACATTTGGTATGTATTTTTTGAATATTGTGTCACAGTTTTGCCTCCAGGCAACATAACTAAAAAGGACACCCAAAATATTGTCTTATATTATAAATTAATTTTAAACAGGAATTTTCATGCCATTTTATGCAAGTCAGTTTTTGTTTTACATTCTTTCATAATGCATGCAATAGAGTGTTAATAACGCTCTCGTATTGTTAATGATGCATCTGGTTTGTAAATCCACTGCAGTTGTGGCCAAAATCTCAGACAGAGATTGTGAGATCCATCAGTTTGCTTTCTCTAAGAAATCCCAATATGAAATATGAACATAAACCCTTTTAGTGGGGATCATGGGTGAAAGGATAAAAGGAGGTGTAGGATAGAGATGTGCTTATGAAAGAGGAGTGCATTCGTAAAGGTGGAGCGCTCTTTAATGGGACTTTTATGTAACTTGGTCTTAACTTTGGCTACATGCGTCGAGCTTCCTAAGTGCATTTCTCAGTTCCCCTTTTGCTTTCTTCCTATCTTTCTCTTTCCTCTCTTTTCTAACAGTCATCTATCCCCCCTTCCTCCCCAAACACACACTCGCATAGATGGCAGGTTGTGTCAGCCACTCTCTCGGGCATGACAGGTGTGAGAAAATCTCTTCGCTGTACAGAGAATATCACCTGTGTCCACACAGACAGATACATATTTAATACAAACACACACACTATATCAATTTGTACAGCACCGTCTTTATTCTGACCCTTTGAGCATCTCTTATGCAACACTGAGAAAGGACAAGGAGAAACAGACAGGAAGAGAATGAGTGTGAGAGAGATGGATATGTCACACCAGTTGGTGGCGCTGGCCTGCAGGTTCAAAAGGGTCTGGCTGCAGCCTTGCGCTTGCACTCTCAGACACTTGCACGACCCTTCTCTGCAGGTTTGGCGTCTCTCTCTCCTGCTGAGACCTGGAGCTCTCGTGTCATCAGAAATCATTGCTCACTGTTTACTCACAGTCCACACGCACAAGACTAACTGTGCCTGCGCACGAGAATCAGCAGCGTACGGCGGAGCTAATAGCGTTTTAATTATGAAACCTTACATATATGAAGACAAACACAGCTTAAATGTGAGGTAGGCATTTTATTATTTTAAAATAAATTGTCGTTTCTCCCAGTTGCAGTGTGTAATTTCTGCACCATTAGCAGCACAAAATGCAATACCTAAATAATGCAGTCAAATTTTGCACTTACAATTCTTTTTCTTTATTTAACAGTCTGACATATAAACTTTTTGCTTCTTGTAAATTGTTTGCAGGACTACACATTTGTTGTTTAATTAATATATATATATATATTCTATTTGGTGCTGCAAGTAACACAAAAGCTACACACTTTCACTTTTAATTTGGAGTTTAACATGACAAAATACAAATATTCCACATTATTACTATTGGAATTAAATGTATGCTCAGTGCCATGTGGAGTTTCATATTTCAAAAGCTTGAAGTTAATATCTAGAATATTAACATATTAAAATTAAATAATGAAAAAATAAATGTAAAATAATAATTTTAATAAATATAAATAAATATAAATAGTTATATATATGCAGTGGCAAAGTTTAACATGACAACATTCAAATATTTAAAATTATTGTTATCCAAATGGCAATGTATGCATTTTGTCACACATTTTTACACTTTCATTTACTGTCCCATGTGACATTTACTGGATCACCAAAGCTTGCTGTTAATATTATATAGAATATTTGAAAATCAATTAATTTAACAAAGAAAAAATTATATAAAACAATAATCATTTTAAATAATTATAATAAAAAATAATTGGTCAAAAATAATGTAAAAAATGTCATGTATTTTTGCAGTGGCAGAGTCAACAACAAACTGAAACCAAAGAATCCAATTTGTGGTACTTCACGAATGTACCCTGTTTGCAAGCAAATTAATTCAGGCAACATTTTTATATAGTTTGAACAGTCGCAACTATTGAAACTATTGAAATGGTACATCAGAGAGTGAATATAATCATTCTAAGTACATAACTAAAAGAGATTGATAAATATTGTATTAATGTCACTTACAAGGGTTCGTTTTTGGTGTAAGATGCTGACACTTTTACACTGTATCCTCTGTTCTGCTGTGTCTTGTGTTTCTCTTCACTGTTCAGTGAGGTTGAGTCATGAAGCATAAAATGAGACGTCACTTTTCATTAGAGGACAGGAGAGAAGAACAGACAAAAAAACCCAGATTGCTCTGGGAGGAGAGGGTGAGAGAGAAAGAGAGAGAGAGGCTAAAATAGATTGGACACTGAGAGGAAGGAAAGAAGACTGAAGTTTGTATGTGTGTGTATGTGTGCGCAGGTGTGTGTGTGTGTGACATCTGCGTCATCGGTGTTCTTCGGATTCCTCTATTTCTTAAAACAGACAACCGTAGCAACACACACGTTGTGTAGCCGGGCAGCAGGATCACTAAACTAAGCCTTCTCTTGACGAGGATGAGGACGGACAGCTAGCAAGGCTAATGCACTGGAAAGTTGCACTGAGGCAGAGATTTCTAGGTATACAAGTATAATTTGAGATTTTAATGAGATCTTAATCCGAGAAACATCCTTCAAGAGATTAGACATCGTATCTATGACTCTGTGTAGAAACAGAGTGTGTGAGACAGAAAGAGAGAGAGAGAGGGGGACTTATGCAGGACATGGTTTCAGGGTGAACAGAGTCTGTGACAGGCTTGTGTATTTATGAAAATCTATTTTTAATTGTGAGTCCATATCAGGTCAGCAGTGTTGTGTGTGGGTAAGATTTTGCTATGTCTGTGCTATCGCAATGTCCTTACAAGGATAACAAAACCTGAAATTACCTACGCTGTGGGGACCAGCCAGCAGTTTCCATGAAGAATACGGCTTAAAGGAACAGTTTAGCCGAAATGAAAGTTCTGTTATTATTTACTCATTTTCATGTCATTCCAAACATGCATGCTGTTTTTTCCCCATAACAATAGTAGAACACTATGGAAGCCCGTTTCCGCCACTGAATAACAAATTAAAAAAGGTAATTGCGACATTTTATCTCACAATTCTGACCTTTTTTTCTAAGAGTTGCATGATACAAATTCGCAATTCTGACTTTTTTCTCAGAATTGTGAGATATAAACTCATAATTGCGAGTTACAAAGTCAGAATTACTTGATAGAAAGTTTATATCTCACAATTCTGACTTAACTCGCAATTGTGAGTTTATATCATGCAATTCTGAGAAAAAAAAAAGGAATTGCGAGTTTATATCTCGCAATTCTGACTTTACAACTTGCAACTTTCTAAGAATTGCATGATATAAACTCGCAATTCTGAGAAAATGTCAGTCTTTTTTTCCCCTCAGAAGTGAACTTTATAACTCGCAATTGCAAGTTTATATCTCACAATTCTGAAGAAAATAGTCAGAATTGCAAGATATAAACTCGCAATTGCGAGAAAAAAAGTCAGAATTGTGAGATACAGACACGCAATTATGAGAAACAAAGTCAGAATTGCCAGTTTATATCTCGCAATTCTGACTTAATTACTCACAAGTGCGAGTTTATATCTCATAATTAAAAAAAAAAAAAGGTGGTCCACAAAAGAAAGTCATACATGTTTGTAACAACATGAAAGTGAATAAATGAGGACTGAATTTTCATTTTTGTGTGACCTGTCCTTTAATAAAGTGATTAAAATAATACTGTTATTAGGCTACTGATATGTCTGGAGTCGTCATCTCATTTAAGTGTGTTTTACATATTTTTCAAAAGTATTATTCTTTTCATAAAGGGACAGTTCACCAAAAAATTTTAATCCTGTCATCATTTACGCATGTTGTTCCAAACCTGTATGTCTTTTTTCTTTTGCAGAACACAAAAGAAGATATTTTGTCAAGTGTTATTTGGAAGGTATACTTGGAGGTAACCAAAATATTCTTCAAGACATTTTCTTTCATATTTCACAGAAGAAATCAAGCGTAGCGTTAGTTCTGGCAGGTCACGTTAGTCAAGCTCGCATCAGCTGACCTTCAGCTGATCCCCATCTACCTATGGGAATACGACACCTATCTAAGCATTCATATATAAGTATTATCAGCAGTTTTCGCATTGCTCAATAGCTAATTATCCTCCTCCATCCCCAACTCCTCCTCTGTCAGTCGGCATTCAGCCTTCTGATTCTCCTTGAATCAGACTAATTCTAAAATGTGTACATAAAATGATTGAACTTTAACAATATCTGCAATACATTCATGTTATTTCTGTTCTGTTTACCCTGGGGGGTTATTGCTGCTCTACCTGCTCTCATCCATGCTAGGCTGCATGGATGCGCAGGGAGTTCTTGCCCAGAACAGAACCATACCGCCAATCCAAACTGTATGCTAATTGTCAATCATGTTTGACGATAGTGGTCCTGACAGAAAATAAGTCATACGGGTTTGGAACAACATGTATGAGTGAATTATAACAGAATATTCATTTTTGTATCAACTGTTCCTTTAAGTTTGACCGTTTGTACACCTTTTGTTTCTGTGATTTCAGAGTAGAGTATATATAGCTCAGTATAAAAAATGTGTACATATTCGTGGGTTTTTATTGTGCGTGTGTGAGAAAGAGAGTTTGCAAGTGTGCTCGCATGTGTGTTCACATCAGTTGGCTCACCTGGGAAAGCAAATGAAAGGTTACATAATCAGGGCAAATAAAATCACATCAGATCCTCTCAACCAAACACACATATACTGGGTTCCTATAACTGTGCGCTTCTGTATCTCCCTCCTTCTCTTCCCTTCTCCTGGCTTATGTGTGTGTATCTTGGCAGCTCTGTGACAGGCCCAAATACAGATTCCTTTATGTCCTTGTGAAAACAGATTTTGTTAGTGTTTACTGCAATGCCTCTAATGTGGAAAAATGCAATTGGTACTGGTGCCACCAGAGGGCACACTCTGACTCCTTTTATTTCACGTCAATGTAACTTTAAGCCCTGAAGCTTTAAAAGCCCTATCTAGACCTTTTATGAAAGCAATCACGGATTCTCTGAGCTCATGATTACTTTAATTGATAATAACAGGGCTTGAAGATCAAGTCATGTCTCTCTTAATGTGTGTGTTCTAGTTATGGGTAAATCAAGAGGAAAACACCGTGGTCGAGGCTGCCGAAAGCTCCAGCGAGGTGCAGAATGGCCATGCGGAGGCCAGTCCGAACCCCAGCACTGACTGCCTGTGCCTGGGCCAGCCCACGCAGAACCGGGACCAGATGAGGGCCAATGTCATCAATGAGATCATGAGCACAGAAAGACATTACATCAAACACCTGAAGGACATCTGTGAGGTAAAAACACATGCCAGCCCTTTCAAAGCTCGGGAGACTTCATTGAGCTCTCTTTTTAACCATCCCATTTGTTTGTCTCAGATGGCTCCCCTAAAATTCCTGAGGAGAAATATACATAAACACAACTGAGACAAAAAGTTTATGTGAATAGCATGGCTCAGATTGTTTGTTCTTGTGAGAATCAGATGAGACATATATGAATTTATATTGAAATCTTTTAATTGTTGGCTCGTCATCTTGCTAAATGTGAGCATAGTATGTGACATTGCTGAAATCTCATAGGGAACTCCATAGAAAACACATGTGAGATTACTATGGTCTTTTCTCTAAAAAAAGTCTCCATTTGCTCTAAATCTATGTCCAAAACTGTATGTCGACATATTGCACAACATGTTTAAAGGGGTCATATGATGCGATTTCAAGTTTTCCTTTCTCTTTGGAGTGTTACAAGCTGATTGTGCATAGATAAGATCCCTGAAGTTGCAAAGACTAAAGTCTCAAAACCAAAAAGATATTCTTTATCAAAGTTAAGACTCTGCCACGCCCCCCTAAAACGGCTCGTTCTAACACGCCCCC